ACAAAAATTGAATATATGGGGTTCTTTGATATGCTGAATCTAACCATGTATTTTGATTTTGGACATTGGACCATAATAGATAAATTAAAAAAATTCAAGTTCTTAGACCACATTCTTTCTGTGTCAGAAACCTATGCTGTGTCAAATATTTAATAACAATCCAAATTCAGAGCTGTATCAAGCTTGAATGTTGTGTCCATACTTGCCCCAACTGTTCAGGGTTCGACCTCTGCGGTCGTATCAAGCTGCGCCCCAGCGAAGCATTTTATTCATAATTTAATTGAAAATATCTGTTGATGATTATTTTGGTTGTACTGCAAGTGAAAAATAAATATTGCAAATTTTCAGTTTTATTTACCATTGTGCAAAGATGACATTTTACTTTTGACAATCTCTTTTTTTGAAGCCTACTTTCCTTATATATAATATTGTGAATGCATTTCCATTGAAATTCTTTTATCTAATTGCCAATGTTAGTTTTTTCAGATTGCCCCATACTTGTTTCCAATTAAAATCGTACCCAAAACTTTCTTGCCATTTATTTTGACATTTAGGAACTATAACTTAATTAATTATGTCTCAAATATGTTTGAGTTTCAATTTATAGGTTTTGTTTTTTAGCTCACCTGTATGGAAGGCCAAGTGAGCTTTTCTCATCACTTGGCGTCCTTGGTCCATCATCTGTCGTCCATCGCAGTGTTCTCCCCAGGAATTTTGGATAGCATCACATTTGGCGTAAAAAAAAATTGTATTTATTTTTTAATGTCATTTGTTGCGTCGCGGCGATGCTCTCTTTCTTTTAAGTTATGTTGATTTTTTTCAATTCATAACTGAGAATACAATTAAAGTATAACTGTTCTTTTAGTTTATTTCTTTAATACTCATTTATAGTTACAGAATTATATTTTTCTTGTTAGAAACTAATTACCAACTAAAAATCTAGTACAAAAGAGAACTTCTTTTATATCAAAAAGGAAAAGAAAGTATCATATAGTAATACCATTTCAATTAAAAACTATTCTGTTTATCATGTTTATGAAATTCATTATTTCCTGTGACTCAATGTATCAGTCCCAGTTGTTTCAAACAGATATATGTTTTTAACTTTGTTAAACTACTTTAATCAGTAAATTAATTAAAACAATGCGTTTACTTAGAAATAAATATATTTTGCAAGGAGATCTAACAAATAGTCTGTAAATTCATGTGGAATGAGTAGCTTTCCCTATTGGGATCATTATTATTCTGTCAGCTGTGCCGTTTCTGCGTCTGTAGTTATTAACGTTAAAATGCGGATTATGATCATAGCTGGTCCGCTTCCAATCCGTAATTAGTACAAAAATATCAATGGCGGTCGAAGAAAAATTTACGAAAATAAACAATGTTTGAGAAGCCAATTGGATGAATATATCACGATTTTACTGGCCCAAGACCACAATTAATGATCCCGCTTTTCGTTGTCCACGAATATAGTTCCTTTTAATTAGAGTGTATTTTTTCTTATTTTTTTTTCTTTCCCTTCCTCACTCATTTCTTAGTTTTTTGTGGGTGGAAATAAAAGAAGAGAGGTGAAATAAACTTTTGGATGTTGTATTTTAACTGATTTTGATATGGAAAGAGTGATAAGGCCAGGTGCAAAAAGGTGATATTTACAGTTTTCGGAACATCTCTTGACTTGTCCATAGGGGTATGGATGTGTATTGGCTAAATTTGTAAGAGTCATTGGTTCAATCTTTCTGAATTTTGGATATATTTTTGGACTAGTACTATACATTACACACACAAAAGATTTGACAAAAATGCAAGGTGCAATTTTTTTAATGAAACAAAACGTTATAAAGAACTAATAGGGGAATTTAATTGTGGTCTGTGGCCTAAGAGGTGAATTCAGGAAATATTGAATTTGTACTTTGACAACTTCCCTGAATGATCGATTGGTATTAATTTGTCAAACTACATGAGAATAAATGATTTCCACTTTTATTTGATAGAAATTTTGTAAAAAAGTGACATTTCAGCCTACATGCCCAAAATTGAACTTTTTCAGTTGTTTCAATATTTTTACAAAAGTAGCATGCTTACTTTCTCTCTGACAGATTTTTCTGGTTTTCTATTTGTGTTTGTGGTATCTAATGTAGATGTTTAACTCATTTTTGAACACTGAACACAAAAAAAGTAGATAAAATCAGAATAAGAGTGCAAAATGTGCTGCTTTAATAGTCTTAGTCTAACGGTCAGTATGAAGCAAGTGAAAAATGAGGTTCTATGCACATACAAGTTGAATTCCTTTTAGCAGATTTCACTGAATCTGTATCAAAAGCACTTATTACTGGTTGTTTGACCTTGTTTGTTTCACAGACTACCTTTATTTTCTTTTGTTTGATAGCTAGTGGTTAAAATATTGGCCTTTTGAGGCTGAAATTTCATGCCGGTTTTAAAAAGTAAAGTAAATAACTTTGCATCAAATCATACTGTCTACATATATAGTTGAAAGTGACAGTCATGTTACATCCAGGCTCCATGTTTTATCATATCTAAACAAAGATTTGAGCAAAAAGAAGCATATCTCTATCTACCATATCATTTATATGCTTTTTAATATGCAAATGTGAGGAACGACCTAAATTGACAACCTGTTTTTTTAAGCTTGACATTGCTGAAGACAATTTTATTCACATGTGTTATGCTATTTGAAACTTATATTTCCATTAAAAATACATTTATAACATGTAAAAGGTTTTTTTATAACTTAACAACTTCAGAAAATTGTGGTAAGTGAAAAATATTACATTTTATATAAGGCCTCACTTCATTTGATAACCTCTATTTTTTGGCACAGGCTCATATAAAATTTACTGCTTGCCATTTTTGATAAGTCTGAAACATGAAGTATGCTATCTGTTGCTTTTAATAGGTGATAACTTATACATAGAAACATTAAAAAATGTAAGTTTTGGTATATTTTGGTTTTTAGAAGCCCAAATTTGATAGTTGAAATTGTTCTAATTCAACGCCACAATTCAGCACCCGAAGTTCAGATATAAAAAATGCCACATTTTTTATAATTGGTATCATATGGCTTTGTAAACTGTTTTATAATACACTAAGCTTAAATCATGCCAAGTTTTATTAGAATTGGTCAAGTTTTAGACCCCTAATAGGCCCAAGACCACAATTAATGATCCCGCTTTTCGTTGTCCACGAATATAGTTCCTTTTAATTAGAGTGTATTTTTTCTTATTTTTTTTTCTTTCCCTTCCTCACTCATTTCTTAGTTTTTTGTGGGTGGAAATAAAAGAAGAGAGGTGAAATAAACTTTTGGATGTTGTATTTTAACTGATTTTGATATGGAAAGAGTGATTAGGCCAGGTGCAAAAAGGTGATATTTACAGTTTTCGGAACATCTCTTGACTTGTCCATAGGGGTATGGATGTGTATTGGCTAAATTTGTAAGAGTCATTGGTTCAATCTTTCTGAATTTTGGATATATTTTTGGACTAGTACTATACATTACACACACAAAAGATTTGACAAAAATGCAAGGTGCAATTTTTTTAATGAAACAAAACGTTATAAAGAACTAATAGGGGAATTTAATTGTGGTCTGTGGCCTACTGTAATAAATAGATGAAACATTACCTAAAAGCAATTTTCATCACGTTCTAATGAAGTATAGAACTTATTTTGCCCAGAATCGAAATGTTTTATGTACGCTCTCAAGTACCGGAATGGAAAGAAAACACTTCTTTGCCAAGTTGTTAGTTTGAAATAACAAACGACCAGCCTGTTAAGTTCGCTCGTTTTTTTTGGGTTTTTTTTCTTCCCTTAGGAGACGAATTTGCCTTGATTCAAACGTAGATTTCGAATTGTTTACCATTTTCTCGATGTCAAAATTTTGCAATTGGGCCACGTGTTATCAGTCATGTCATAAGTGTCAGCTTGGGGTATTTGTATCCAAACAGTTATCACCCAAAGGGCAATTAACACCTATTTAATCAATCTTAATTGCCTCTTATGTCCGATTTGAAGGGATTACAATTAAAGGTGATATAATTTTTATGATCACAAGCGGCAATTCGATGAAAGTTCGAAGTTTAGGACATCGATATTGCGGCAAGAAAAAATAGCGTCCTCAAAATAATTATAGCGTCGCGGAAATTATTATAGCGTCACGGTAAAAAATTATAGCATCACGGGACAGCGACGCTCAAACGGCCTGGGGAGATCACTGCATCGTTGTCGTTAACTTTTACAAAAATCTTCTCCTCTGAAACTATTGGGCCAAATTTAACCACAATCATCATTTGGGTATCTAGTGGAGAAATGTGTCCGATGACCCAACTTGTCAACCAACATGGCCCACATTGCTAAAAATAGAACATAGTGGTAAAATGCAAGTTTTTTCTATTATCTTGAAACCATTATGAATAGAGAAAATCTGAAAGTAGCAAAAATGTTCAAAATGTTGTGATCTACCTGCTGTCCATTTACATCAAAACTGTCAGACAACTTCTTATAGGAGTTATTGCCCTTATTTGTCAAATTTTACAATTTTTTATTGAGCCTGCGACTTTTGCAGAAAGCGAGACAAAGGGATAGTGATCCTGTGGCGGTGGTGATGGCGGCATTGACTAACTAAATTTTTGTGGTCCTATATTGGTATGACGTTGGCGTTGTTGTCGTTGTCCGGCGTCGTCCTTGTCGTCCCAAGACACATTAGTTTTCGCACTCTAACTTTAGTTTAAGTGAATGGATCTCAATGAAATTTTACCATAAGGTTCAGTACCACAAAAAGAAGGTGGGGATTGTTTTTGGGGGTTATGGTACCCACAGTTAAGGAATTAGGGGCCAAAAGGGAATGCTGGGATAAATTTTGGGGATAATTGCCTCCAAATTTTAGGAATTAGGGGCCAAAAAGGGGCAAAAAACAAGCATTTTTCTAGTTTCATGACAATAACTTGTGTGTAAGTGTATGGATCTCTCTGACATTGTATCACAAGGTTCCATATCACAAAGGAAAAGCTGGAATTGAGTTTGGGGGTAATTGCCTAAAAAGTTTAGGAATAAGGGGCCAAAAGAACCATTTTTCTAGTTTCCAGACAATAACGTGTGTTCAAATATATGGATCTCTCTGAAATTATACTGCAAGGAACCATATCACAAAGGGAAGGCTGGGATTGATTTTGGGGGTAATTCCCTCAAAATTTTAGTAATTAGGGGCCATAAAAGGGCAAAAAACCAAGCATTTTTCTAGTTTCCGGACAATAACTTGTGTGTAAGTGTATGGATCTTTATGAAATTGTACTGCAAGGTTCCATATCGCAAAGGGAAAGCTGGGTTTGAGTTTGGGGGTAATTGCCCTAAACGTTTAGGAATTTGGGACCAAAAAGGGCCAAAAAACAAGCATTTTCTAGTTTCCATACAATAACTTGTGTTTAAGTGTATGGATCTCTCTGAAATTGTACTGCAAGGTACCATACCACAAAGGGAAAGCTGGGATTGAGTTTTGGGGTGATGAATCATTAGGGGGTTCAAAAAATTGGGGGGGGGGGGGGGGGGGTCATTTTTTTTCTTTAAAATTTATCATTTTAAATTGGTTATTTCTGATTTATATATAAAAGCAAATAATAATGATATGGTTTGAAGAGGTAAATTAAAAAAATTTAAGTTCTTAGACCACTTTCATTCTGTGTGAGAAACCTATGCTGTGTCAAATATTTAATTACAATCCAAATTCAGTGCTGTATCAAGCTTGAATGTTGTGTCCATACTTGCCCCAACTGTTCAGGGTTTGACCTCTGCGGTCGTATCAAGCTGCGCCCCAGCGGAGCATTTTATTCTAATACTGCATGCAATATAGGTCAACTATATTTGGTGTATAGAAATATTTTACTATGTACATGTCAGTCTGGCAGGTTTTATTTAACCATAACCTCTCTTTCATGGTTCATTGCTCAATGTTCAGTTTTTGTGTTTTGGTCTGTTTTCCTTAAAATATAAGTAATAGGTCAACTATATTTGTTGTATGGAATGATTGTAAGGTGTATAAGTCTGTCTGGCAGGTATCATTTAACCTTGACCTCATTTTCATGGTTCATTGGTCAATATAAAGTTTTCATGGTTTGGTCTGTATCTTGTATACTATTAGCAATAGGTCAACTATATTCAGTGTATGGAATGATTGTAAGGTGAACATGTCTGTCTAGGCTTGGTTTATCTGACCTTGACCTTTTTTTTTTTGGATCATGTTAATTTTATGTGATACTTGTAGTAAAACTTGATATTTAGGACTATCAACATAAAATCAATGGTCAGTAAAGCCAGTCAGTAGAGACATTTCAGCATGTGCATTTTTTTTTAATGTTTGCCTATTATTTTGAAAACTATAGTAGATAAAGACGACTTCATACAGGAGTTATTGCCTTTAAATGTCAAATTTTACCATTTTTTTTCATTTCTGCTTATTATTTTGAAAACTATAATAGATAGAATCTTCAATTAAGAAAAGTGATCAGCAAGACAAGATCTACAAATAAGTCAACATGACTTAAATGGTCAGACAACTCCTTATTGGAGATATTTCTCTTTGATAACGATTTTTACCATTTTTTTTTTTCGTTTTTACCTAATATCTTAAAACCTGTAATAGATAGATTAAAACATTGATTAGCCAAAATGATCAACAAAACAAGATCTACAAATAAGCCATCATAGCTGAAATCTTCAGTCGACTTGTGATTGAAGTTATTGCCCTTTAAAGATGATTTTTAACCGGATTTTCGAAGGACTGTATCCATTCATTAACATGAAAACACTTTGACGAAATCTTTTCAAATTTAGATATGTTGTTTCCTGTGACTAAATGAAGCTCAAGTTCAATTTTCACGATTTTAGCTTTTCTCGTTGTTGAATTTAAGCACTTTTTAGTAGCCAAAAAAGGTACTTATTATGTGATTGGGTTGTTTCCCTTTGAACAGAAATTGTTAATTATATATATAAAGTTTGATTACACTAAGTGTTTTTAAATAATTTTCACCTGTTATCAGATAATAGAGCATGTAGTAAATATCACAGAATTATAATTGGAGTGACAGATTTATTTGAAAATTTTCTGTTTCCTAAGTGTTGATGATTATAAGCTGTGTGCTCTGTAGGACTGTATAAATATAGTTAGAAATTTACTGTTCATTATTAGACATTTTGAAGATAATTACAGATAAGTTTTATAGATTTTTAAAAAACATTGTATTAATGATAAATGAAATTTTGGATTTTCTTTTTCTTTTCTTTGGTAAATTGTTTGAAGAATTTTGTGGTAGGTTTGTTTGTTATTCTGTATAAATTATACTATTCTGAATGCTATATATATATATATATACAAGTCTAAATTGAAAACGACGTTCAAACCTATGATTGCGTTGGATAAAAACCACAATTTTTATATGTGTGCATGCAAAACAAATTTCTTGGTAGAGGGGTCTAAATACAGCACAAACAACATTTTCCAAAAGACCAAAAAAGTGAAAAAGTATATTTTAACAAAACACATTTGACTAACAGGTCAAACAACTGATGTTCTTAAACCCTGCTGACTGCCATTGGCGATTACCAAATAAACGGATCACAAGATGTAACAAAATGGATCTTTAAAAATTAATAATCTAATACCAAACAGAAAACAATAAACTTGCGGAAAAGATGGTAAACCGCAAACAAAAGGTGCAAAAATTAGTACACCATATCCGGATTTCGACAATTAATGTCTCTTCAGTGATGTTAGGGATCGAAACAGTGTTTGGAAGGCCATAAAATTTACCTCAATTTAGGATAGACTCTTGAATTTTAAAGAGTCGAAATAGGATGAACGGATCATATAAACCCGAAGGAAATATATAATACAAGCCCAAACGAAAAATATTAACAAGTCTAAATTGAAAACGACGTTCAAACCTATGATTGTGTTGGATAAAAACCACAATTTTTATACGTGTGCATGCAAAACAAATTTCTTGGTAGAGGGGTCTAAATACAGCACAAACAACATTTTCCAAAAGACCAAAAAAGTGAAAAAGTATATTTTAACAAAACGCATTTGACTAACAGGTCGAACAACTGATGTTCTTAAACCCTGCTGACTGCCATTGGCGATTGCCAAATAAACGGATCACAAGATGTAACAAAATGGATCTTTAAAAATTAATAATCTAATACCAAACAGAAAACAATAAACTTGCGGAAAAGATGGTATACCGCAAACAAAAGGTGCAAAAATTAGTACACCATATCCGGATTTCCACAATTAATGTCTCTTCAGTGATGTTAGGGATCGAAACAGTATTTGGAAGGCCATAAAATTTACCTCAATTTAGGATAGAATCTTGAATTTTAAAGAGTCGAAATAGGATGAACGGATCATATAAACCCGAAGGAAAATATAATACAAGCCCAAACGAAAAATATAAACAAGTCTAAATTGAAAACGACGTTCAAACCTATGATTGCGTTGGATAAAAACCGCAATTTTTATACGTGTACATGCAAAACAAATTTCTTGGTAGAGGGGTCTAAATACAGCACAAACAACATTTTCCAAAAGACCAAAAAATATATTTTTTGATGAAGTGAACTCCTTTAAAAACGAAGCTTATTGTCTATTAATAAATATATATTTAGATTTCTGATTTTGGGCCCAGTTATCAAGTTGGTCCAAATATTAATAAACATATATTTAGATTTTTGATTTTGGGCCATGTTTTCAAGTTGATCCAAATCGGGGTCCAAAATTAAACTGTGTTTGATTTTAAGGCGAAGTGTACGTAATATAACTACTCCACAGAATTTTTTTATATTTTACATGTGGATTCTGCTTGTAAAATTACATCAGAATATAAAATAAAAAAAGGGTGTAACCTTTTTCGTTTTTCAGATACAAGCTGTTAAAACTAACATCATGATATTTTTACTTTATCATGATTTTCTAATTCGTTGGTCAACAGAATTTTTTTTAAATTGAAATGCGATTCAAAAATAAACGTTGAATCCATTGGTGCAAAGAAAGTCCTTAGCAACCATGCTAGTTTTCAAGCTATATTCTCTTGAAGTATTTTTTTAAGCGGGAAATTATAAAATATTCGGCAACGTTATTGATGTCTGCTGTAACATCACCGCAAATTCTACTCTATAACGCTAGTATACCCATTGTACTGTACAGTATTGTCATACAAATCGTGAGTGTGTGTAACACATTTTCCTAAGTATTGGAAATGCTCCAAAAAAATAAAAGCGTAATCGGTTGACATGGTTGATAATGATACAAACTGAAAAATGTTTAAGGATATTTCTGCTGCCAAAATAATGCAAATTGGCAAATAAATATACTGCAAGTGAAAGAAAGTGACTGTATAGACTTTAACTCCATCTTTTATTGATTAGACAGGGTTCCACATCTTTTCTTTTAAATATATGTGTTGTTCTAATAATTTTAAATAAAATATCGAGTTGTCCAGATTAGTACAGAATGATTCTATACATATTTGAAAAATTCGGTTATAATATTGGGATCGCTTCTTTTCATCCTCACCATTTCCGGAACTATGCGAGGTATTGCATACACAACCCATTCTATTTGTCAAGTTCACACACATGCACGTGATTCTACAATTTTTCTTGAAAATTTCCTGTCTCGATAGATTTCCCTTTTCTTTAACTACACGACAAGATTTTATACATGATATAATGTTTGCTGGAGATTCATTAACAAAGGAAATAATTTCTTGTACCATTATTTCTTAAATTTCCACATGTACGACTCATAAAAAATAAGAAATCCGCAAATGCATATTATCTTGAGAATATTATCAAAAGAAGAACCCGTATATGAATTTCAACAAAATAAAACAGATCGGAGTTTTTTTTTTATTTAACTTCCCGTTGCATAGATCACTGCCTGTGTTATGCCTTAGCATTGGGTATATTGTAATGCTAAAGCGGTATTGTTAAGTCTAAGTCTAAAGCTTTGTGTATTATAGTTATATGCTGTAAATTTGCTGGTCACACGGTCATGATATAAATGTACTGGTGTCATGATATAAATGAACTGGTGTCATGAAATAAATGTATGTATATAATGCTATACAAATGTACGTATGTAATGCTATACGAATGTTCCTATGTAATGATATACGAATGTACGTATGTAATGCTATACTAATGTATGTATGTAATGCTATACGAATGTACCAAGGGCGATGTTATGATAATGTAATCATCCAGTATGATGCTAAAAATGTTTCTAGTGTAAATTCATTAGATTGTATCCAGTATAATGTAAGGAGACCACTTCTAAGCAAGAATCCAAGCTCATAAACTCGGCAAT